CATGTTAACAATCCCCAATAAACATGATTTTAACACTGATGTTTCCCACAAAAGACTTAACACTGATGTTTCCCACAAAAGCAAATAAATATATAACTGAAAGACTCTGTTTTCCACATTCCTTCATACTAATTGTTGCCTTGTACTTTCCATTCTCTTCAACAACCCTGCGATCTCACACTCCATCCTCAGCTTCATGTTCCTGTAATCACAATGCGAGTTCTCAAGCTTCTTCAACTCCTCCAGCTTATTCCTCCTCCTCTCCTCCGTCTCCTTCAGACACAGCCTCGCTATCTTCTCTGTGTACTCCTCCTCCATCTTCTCCGTCATCATTTCTATCATTCTCTTGGCACTCTCTGCCGCTATTCTCGCCTCGTCCGCTATCTTCTGGAACATTCCTGTTTCAGCCTCCTTGATCCTCACCATGCTCTCTAAACTATCAAAACTGTTCATCATTGCATCTCCTGACGCAAAGCTCTTCTTCATTTGGTCCTTTGATGTTGAAGGCGTTACAGATGCCTCGTCTTTTCCGTAGCTAGATTCTGCTACAACTGTTTGCTCTTTCGGTTCCGGAAACTCTGTTACAGACTCTGCATCTGCAAGAAAATGTTGATAAGACAAGAAAAAATAATCAATAACTTTTTGTTGAGTTAACACTTACAGTTGAAAAACTGAATGATGAAGTTAGAGGCATCTTGAGGAGAGATCTGTTTACTCTCTAGCTTCTTCACCATTTCATTAGCTTTGAGATGCAACGCTTTGCCTTTACCATCATCACTTCCACGGAAAACCTTTCCAACGCAATCAAGCTCCTTAACCAGAATCTCAGTTCCCCAATTCTTAGCGCAACACACAAACACATCCTTAACAAACCCAAACATCTCAGACTTATGACCACATCCAACGCAATGAAACAGCATCTCAGTCCTCCCTCGAGGACCTTTCACACTATCTCCCGGTTTGATCAAACCCTCCCGAATCCCACAAGCAGCATGACACCAATGAGAACAAACATCACACCCCACCCAACTACAAGTATTACTAGCGGAATCGAACTTCAAGCAGACAGGACACATACAAGAGCTGCAAAAGCCTTTGTTTCTCGAACATATCTTGCATTCACAGTCATCAACAGGCAACATACTCTTGCAATTCACGTTCCTACATCTCAAAAACAGAAAAATCTCCACCAACTCGTTCATAGGGATCCGGATTTTACCAGACAAAAAGTACTTAAGCCCTGTTCTCACGGATACCAAAATGTCTAACTGATCCTTAACACACTTAGACAACGTCTCTTTACAAAGATCGGATCTTTTCTCAATCTGGTTCTGTAGATTGACCAGCTTCTCCTTATGCTCCAGCGAATCAGAATCGATCAAGTTTCTTAAGTACTCTTTAGCTGCTTCTAAAGTTTCTTCAGCCATCCCTTGGATAATTAAAGCTACTGAAGAGATAGACTTGGAAACGACGTCGTGGAGAACCTTCTCCGATTTAATTGAATCGTCTTCTTCCGGATTGGGTGATAATCCCTTGGCGGCTGGTAGCTCGGAAGGGAAGAAGGAGTACTCGGAGGAGTTTGACGGTTTGCCGGAGAAGGGATTGACGTCGAGGACGCCGACGGGTCTGAACCGGCTGTGAACGGAACCGTTGGTGCCTTCGCCGGCGCACCAGATATGATCGGAGGTCTCGAAGTCGGTGGAGTTTCGAGTCATCGAGCAGCTCATGTTGTGGGAGAAAGGACCACCGTGAGAGCAGGAGTTCGAAATTGACGGCGCTGTGAAGTCGTTAGAGAAAGAAGTGGTCGTCGTTACTCTCGGTCTTTTGACGCCGTTTGACGCCGTTAGAGATAGAGAGAGGTTTAGAGTGTCGATCTTCACTTCTTCATTGACGACGTCGTCTTGATGAGACTTTTTGCGTTTGGTTTCTCTGAGGTTAAAGAAGTCTCTTTCGATCCGATTCTCGTCGTAGCTTAAGGTTACGACCACTTCTTTCCCCTTTTGAGGATCAGAGATTTTCTCGGAGAGGTCGCGGTTCTCGCAGAGGTAGCTGAGAGTGAGCTCGTTGGCTGATCTGGGTGAGGATTTCGATGAAAAGACATCGAGGTTACTGGAGCGAACGCTGGTTTTCTCAGATTGATTGTTGTTGTTGTTGTTGAGATGAGAGAATAGAGGCTTTGATGTTTTGGTTCGGGAGCATTCTCCGTCAATGGCGAGATGATCTTTCTCTCCTATCATGGCGTTCAGACAGAGAATCTCGGAGAGAGAATGAGAAATGGGAATAAGTTGGTCGGCTCAATGGCAAAAGCTGTAATAAATTGAGAGGTACGAGGGTGTTTATGTCTATTATGAGGTAAGTCCCAGCATATTTATTACAACTTTATAAGTAAACGGCCGTTTTATTCTTTTTGAAGTGTTCACACGAGTCACGAGACGCGGTTTTCGTCACGTTTCGATAAAGTTAACCAGTCCCTCGAATAGTATCCCATTACTCAAGAGGGCATTTATCCGGCGATACATTTGTTTTCCCTTTAAACAATGATGAAATATGATATGAAAGTGTTATCTGACATACTATATAGAAATTAAGTAAGCTAAAGTGATTGGCTTATGATCAGAACAAAATTTATAATACAATATTACAATACTATGAGGTGATTTAGCTCTGAAGAATAATATAAAGGGATAGTGGACCAGGTAGGAATATAAATTTTGAGGGAAAAGTCAACGCGTTACGTATTATTGATGCGCAACTTGTCATATTCTTTCTGTTTTGTAGGCACTTAGAGCATCCACATCAATGAACCCCAAGAGGGGGTTCATTGAATCAATATTTTATTATTAAAATTTTTTTGTTTTCTTTTTGATTATTTTTAAAAAAAAAAAGATAAAAAAAGAGACCTACACCAATCCCGGGCCGACACGTGTTGAACCTTAGGAGAAAGGGGTTCACCCGGGTGAACTTTAGAAGAGAGGGGTTCATAGATTTTGGTTATTTTATTATTTTATTTTTTTGGTTTCCGTGTGAACCCCCCATTTGAACTCTCAATGGGGATGCTCTTATACCATTTTATAAGATAACAACCTAGGCCAACTTTCATAGAACCAGGCTTTAATGAACAACAGCCCAAACCCAGAGGGTATGGTACTGTTGTTTTCAAGAGGGCCAAAGCAGACCATTATGCATTGCATGTCTCATGTATCATCGACTCAATCGTATAATATGCACAACCTCTATTCATGGTCACAGATTTTCTTATTGGATCAGTAAATGTAGTGGAGCATTAGTTAAGGCTCATTAGAAAAATCATGGCAATCTCGTGATTTATAGTTAAACCTGATAAAACTCAATCATCTTAGAAACAGCCTTTATTTCCTGATCATTCTAAAACTAGAAGAAATCTTCTAGACCTTATTAAGTAAGAGGAGATACTGAACAAGAAAATGATTTTTAATAAAATGGGAGTGTAGTATATTATTGGGGGAAATAAGGAATAAATGTGTGTGGCGACACAAATAGTTGGTATTAGTATGCCAATTCAAGAGCTAATAATCCCAGAGACAATTATAAAAATCTTTAGACATTGCTTAGTATACCTTATATACTATTTGTTGAATAAATGGTAATAATAACCTGTGAGTTCGTATGGGAGTATACTGTGTTCTGGTTTTGGGGTATTTGTTGTTGTTGATTGCTTACTGCCCAAGGAACCAATCCAGGCTCTGTATATAGAAACACTAATTTAAAACTCCTTTCTTTAACCCTCGTAGTAGAGAATGACACTATGAGAGTGATGTTTAGAAGATACCTCGACGCATTCATGCAGGTCGTTATCTTTTGTTCTAACATGAACCTGCAAAAGGAGATAAAAAGAGGTTTGGGATTGTGAATATTCTGTATATTCTTGAAATCAAAAAGTATTCAAGTAGTGTTCAAAAAGATTAGTACCTTTACAACTCGTTGGTAGGCTGAGATTTTGTTGTGTTTGATGCAGGCGAGAACTACGAGTCCAGCTGCTACGCTCGAGGGCCAAAAACAGAGTTGAGTGTGATCGGCAAGGGAGGTAACAGCAAATGATTTCGCTACCCTTTCAATTTCTGGACTGGCTCGAGCAGCTTTTAGGTAAAACCTGAGAAGTATAATTTTAGTTGTTATCTATATTTCAGTGTGTTTATGTGTCTTGGAACAGAAAACATATAATAGAGGTATTTACCATAAGAAGTTAAAGATTGTGGGTGAGAAGCATTTGAAGTTGAGGACTTCTTGAATCAGCCACTCCATTGCCACCACTTCATGACGGCTATACTTTAGGTTCTCAATGTAGAAGTTCCTTTTCCGGATGCTGTATAAATGAAGTATCAGGTGAGCAGCTGAAGGAAACTGAACTATTGCTATGTGTGTGTTGAAAGGGTTTTGCGGTAAAGAGCCTTCTAGAAACATAATTCAATTTTTGACACTATATAGGATTTGTACCTAGACTCTTAACCTATTATTAATGAGTAATGCTCAGTTTCTTGAAATGGTCTTTATCTCATTTCCTTTTCAGAACATTTATCTAATGAAAACTGAAGATGGATAACGGTTCGTACCTATTGTAAGGTTGGTTTTCTTCAATCCTGGTGGCCAAAGTAAGACTCGCAATCCCGACTAGTACCAGAGTCCTCTCGCTGTTGAAGGATCCCTTGCTCAGGAATCGATCGAGCAGACTAACTCCAAGAAACAAGGTCTCTTGCTGAAGCCCCATGTCAGAACATTGCTGCGTATAGCCAAGGAGAAGACAATCAGCAACAAAAGATTACCATAGCTAGCTAAAACACTAACATTAATGAAACTAAATATTGCATTTTCCTTTACAATCATCTCCTAATGATTGATATGTTTCTGATATTCAACAGTTAAGAGTTCACTAGATATATAATCATTAGCATATAAGAACAGAATGATGATGTTCACCTCCACAATCCATTGAACCATGATCAAGCGTAGACGAGGGATGAAATCAGTATGGTCCATCCTGGAGAAGTAAGCCTTAGCACAGTCACGCAAATACGCATGACTTCTCTCTCTTTCCCTCAGCATTTGGTAGCTCTCCTCCACCTCTTCATCTTCAAACCTTATCAGCTACACGAAAACGTAAATTCAAAGATTCATTCCATGATAATATATCTGATTTTAAAATAAGTCTCAGATCAAATTAAAATAGCAAATCAAGTGAAATTTCATGCAATTAACCACAATTTCAATCTATAATCTATAGCACTTACTTCTTTGATCAAAAAAATTAATATAATAATCTATAGCACTTACTTCAGGCTGAGTTTCACGGTTTTGATCATGGCGAGAAGATTCGAAATCGTTGGGAATCGTGGATCTACAGAACTGTTCCTTGTACTGAAGGTAGAGAGAGCGAGAATGTGAAATAGGAGAAGCAGAGCCAGATTTCTCAGAGAATTCGCTTCCGGAATCGGAAAACATCGACGGAGTGTAATCCGATGAATCGAGTGAAAATATCTCCGATGACTCGTCCTCGTAATACTCAGAAACATCTTCCCCCGAGAACGTCTCCGTGCAAGCGAGATCGGAGACGAATCCAACTGTCTCAACCTCCGGCTTCAGTTCCACGAATCCACTCGGTTTGGAGATTTCAGTTTCTTCGAGTTTCGAGCAAGACTCCACCACAGCCGAAACGAATGAAACGACGTCGCTCTCCTTACTCTCGGCAAATGTCACGTCGGATCGTGTGAAGGACGATTCGCTTACTTCAATCTCGTCTCCGTCCTTCTCCTTGGTTAGCTTAGAGTATGATCTAGTGATCCTCCGAAACTTCGTCTCCTCCTTCACATCGTTACCAGGTCTAGAAACTTCTTCTTCCTCTTCGATTAGATTCTTCAAGCTCTTCTCGACTCGGCTAGAACCGCATGAAACGTTGTCGTCGACTGAAGAGAACAAATTGGAGGAGGAATCGATGGAAGTAGTGGAGACTCCTGTTTCCTTGAGGCAGAGAGGTGGATGGATAGGAGCTGGAGAGATTTGATCTCTCTTCCGGCGTGAAGGAAGTGATCGAAGCTTCTTCCCGGCGAACGGCGTCGGCTCAGCCTTACGCTTTGGAATCCTCGACGCAATCTCCTTCATCCTTTTGACACGATCACACGAGACTTCTCCGTCGAAAGTTTTGAATTGGAATTCGGATTTTCAAATTCGAAAACGGAAGTTCGTTTTTGTTAGTTGGTTAGAGAGTAGAGAGTAAGATGCAGTTATGGAAGTTTATACCGAGATGATGGTGGAGACTGGAGAGTGAAATGGGGTTTTATTCCCTGCGGGTAGGTCCACGTGAACCTACTTTTTCCATCTACTGTAGTTTTAGTGCCGTAAATCGCAACAGAAAAGAATAAGAGCGTTTGCGTTTGAATTTATGTGTCACAATTACAACAGCTAATAGCATGCGGTTTGATTATTACTTCAACTGGTTGGTATATCAATACTATTAAAAGAGAAGGAGTCCTAAAAAATCTACTTATGTAAGTTGTTTGGACTCTTTCATTAGACTAACATTTTTTGGTCTTCCCTTATATTTATCTAACTATATAAATACTATTTCTCTAACTATATAAATACTTTATAATTTAAATGAACTCATATTAAAATTTGATATTGCATTTTTATACATGAACTAAATGATTAATTGTATATATAAAAATAAAATGGGTCTAAATGGGTTGGAGATTTTAATAGTATATATGTTTATTTATTTTACAAATTCTAACAATGCATATGATATGTTTTTATTTAATTTTAAATGTAAAATATCCTACAATTTAAATTTCAGATAGTTTGAATATCTTCAATATTTTGAATAGACTATATTCGGGTAATTTATTTGTTTGCCTAATTTGGTTTATAAATAATATTTCTGGATATTTATTATTGAAATATTATATATAATTAATATTTGTAGGTATGTAATTTATATTTAAAAATTTTAAATACCCATTTGGTTCTCGGAGCGGTTTCTATTTTTTGGTTCCAGAAATATATGATATGATCGATTATTTATGAAATTTGGTTTAATTTTCGTTTTTTTCCAGTTTGTTACGGTTCGGTTCACCTGGAAAAATGTATAACATGTGCATTATCTTATATGAAAATTCATTTAGAAGAATTTATTTTATTTCAAAAATAAACCCGCGCTTTTTAAGCGCGGGTCAAAATCTAGTTTTTAAATTAAATTATAGCTTTAACAAGCATGCAGTCTAATCATTTTTCATGGATCTCACATGCAAGGATGTCATCATCTTCCATTAACCAAGCCGGTACTGGTTCGAACCGGAAATTGGCAAAGCTCAAGAATGATTCAGATTTCAGAGACAACTTCATGAATGAGAAGTGACAAAACTGGTCAAATAAGGAAACAAAAGAAACGCACAAAACAAAAAAAATGAGACAAGTTCTTGACTCAAATCTGATTCACAGAGATCTATGTCAAGAATCAGGTGAAGCCAAGTGAGTAAGGGATTTGAAATCAGAGAAGCATCTCAGCAATTTGAACAGCGTTTAGAGCAGCTCCTTTGCGTATTTGATCTCCACAAACGAATATGTCCAGCCTGAAAATTTAACAAAGTTAATAGCGTTTTAACTTAATGGGAAGAACTCATTTGATCTAAATTCAATAAAAAAGAGTAAAGACTTTACCCGAAATTGCCATCTTGGGACACGTCTCGCCTGATCCTACCAACCGCTACATCGTCTTTGTTAGAGACATCAAGTGGAGTAGGGAAGGTGTTAGAGGCACGGTCGTCTATAATGTAAACTCCAGGTGCTTTCCTCAACAGCTCCCTTGCTGTGTTCTGTTATAATACAATTACAAATAAGAACCTGATCATAAGAATTTTTTTTTGTGGCTCTAAACATGCTAGCAGAACAAGTCCAAGTAACAACTTCAGGGTGGTATAACTCTGCAAGTGCCTCAAGAACTATACAAGCCTACGAAAGCTGATTAAAGGGCATATGATTCCTTGGAAAAGAACTTTAAAAAATGCCTATAGCATGACGTTTCAGCCATGCCCATGATCCAACCAATGATTCAAGAGCTACTAATAACATTTTTGGTAAAAAATAGGTTTGAAGTTGTATTATTATTACCTCATCGAGGGGATTCTCAAACTGTAGATTCACACTCTCTGCATGAGCACGCATAACCGGAACACGTATACACGTCGCTGTTACTTTTACTTCTGTGTCATTCTGCCAAAAACAATAAACGTAAAAAAAGCCTCTTTAACAACATATTGAACAGGAAAAAAATCACAGTTACAAAAACAGTTATTCAAGTAACAACTCACCCAAATCTTCCTCGTCTCTTTCACAAGTTTCATTTCCTCTTCATTGTAACCATTCTCAGTAATGGGAGCATTGTGCGAAAACAAGTTAAATGCATACTAAAATTAATCAAAAAAGTAATTCAGAATCAGAACACTAAACCACCATTTGAAACCTAAATTATAATCAAATTGACTATTCACCTGCTGGCTGAAAATGTTACAAGTGGGCGGTTTACCAGCCAAAACCTAAGGTAAAACCAATCCAAAACTCAGCATTATCATTAATAGTAAAGTTTATGTAATGCTTAAAAATAGAAACAAAACCTCACGAGTCTGTTGCACAAGCTCTTCCATCGCTGCAGCACCTGCACCACTAGCTGCTTGATAAGTACTAACCACCATCCTCTTCACCTGATACAAACCAGATACAAACGTTAGTTAAAGAATACACAAAACGGAGACGTTTCAATTGCTTAAATTAGTCGAACCTTAGCGTGATGATGAAGAGGCGTAACGGCCATCAAACAGATAATAGTGGAACAATTAGGGTTCGCAATCAACGCCCCTTTACCCTTCCCCACTTTAATCCCTCTCATCGCCTCGGGATTCACTTCCGGGATCACAAGCGGCACTCCTTCAACCATTCGAAACGCCGAGCTGTTATCGACGACGATCGTCCCCTTCTCCGCGGCTCGCGGACCGAACTCCTTGCTTATGGATCCTCCCGCGCTGAACAGCGCGATGTCGACCCCGTCGAAGCTCTCGGCGGTGAGCTCCTCAACGGTGTACTCGCGGCCGTCGAAGGCGACGCGTTTCCCCGCGGAGCGTTTCGACGCGAGCATCTTGACGGAGCTGTAAGGGAAGTCGCGATCGGAGAGGACGGAGAGGAATTCTTGGCCCACGGCGCCTGTGACGCCGACGACGGCGAGGGAGGGCGCGGATTGTTGGAGGGACATTTTGACGCGCGCGGAGAAGGCTCTGGGTTTGGGATTGAGAGGGGGTTTGGAGAGGAAATGGGTTTGTGTGGTGTGGTGAGTGAGAGGAGTCGTCATTGTCGCCGTCGTGAGGAGGAGAGAGGGAATGAGAGTGAGGTTTTTTTGGAGGCGGCTGATAAAAGCAGAGTGTGTTTTAGAGATATATTAAGCAAATCAGTTTCATAAACCGAAACAGCAGGCTTTTCTATTTTAAGGAATTGAAACGGTATGATGTTTGAAAGTGGTGAGCAAAAGTGATCATCTACCAGATTGGGTATATTCACACAACTTTCTCATGTGTTTTTATTGCTTCTTTTGGAAATTTTAAGTTGTTGAAAAGTATTGTATTAATGTGGATTAAAGCGCCAAGGTTTAGGGTTTAAATGCTCTTAAATTGTTAGAGTTAAGCATTATTGTTTGTTGTTAACTGTTAACATTCCTGGGGAATATCTTGCAGTGCTGTCTTAATAATGTAAACAGTAGTAAAGAATCGAAAATACACACCACGACGTGGGAGACAAATATGAGTTATCGAGTGTGTGCAGCAAAAGATTGGAGTTTAGAACTTCAACCATATATCTAATAATAATGTAAGAAGTGTTCACACGAGCAATGAAACTAAAGATATAAAGAATATTTCTTAGGGAACCCTTTGATCAGACCTTACTTCCAAGCCACGGCATCGATGTCATCTCTAGCTTGTTTGTAAAGCTCGAGACGTTTCGCTAAGGTTCCTCTTCGTTCCATGAGCTGTGGGTCTTCGTCCAACATCGCCCCCAGCTTCCCCTTCTGCACCCATTTATTTTATTGAAATCATTAGAAAGTGCTCTCCACTCTTTAATATGAAAGGGTAATCAAATATTGTTTACCTCTTTCCTGCCGACTTGAGCGTAGAAGAAGTTGAGGAGCGATCTCTTAGCTTCTCTAACTTGGCAGTAAACAACAGCTTTGGGAAGTGAAATTCTCAATGTGTCACACACCATGTTTATGTACGCACTCACGTTGGATCCTAAGGAAAAGTAACTCATTGTCAAGACACATTGATATGTCTTCGTAGGAAGGGAAGCCAGAGACACGTACCGATCTTTCTGAAGTGATTATCGCCGTAGATGTCTGCGTTTTGTGGTGGAGCATTTCTCGGGTTCGGTTTCTCTTTCTCGGGTTCAAGGTGAAGTTTTCTGAAGAAGTCAACCGTGAGGTAGCTAGATTCCATGTCCACCAGACGCAGAACTGTTTTTCTGCTTTCGTCTCTGAATCTTTCAAGAGCTTCGTTTGCAGCAGCTGCTATATCACTGGCTAGAGTTGGGAATCGCTTCAGCTCCTGATAGAAAGAGCAAAACGACATTTTCGGATTGAAACAGAACGTATAGTGCTAGGAGAAGTTCTCACAACAGAAGACATCTTCATACCTCTGTTTCTGAAATCGACTTTCGGACCAGCTCTTTCAATACAAAATGTACCTAAGAGATATCAATACAGGAGTCAAAATATAGTTAATTTGTTCGAAAATTAAAGCCTCACAAGAGTTTTTTGACCAAAAGAAGAAGAATACTGCGTCGACAGTGGCTTCCGCTGGTCCTTTGAAATAGCCAATGGATCCATCAATTAGCCTTCTGTATCCTTGCTCAGGAGCAATAAGATGTGGCTGATAACCATCTGCTTCTGATACAACCTTTTGAACATTTTTGGTAGAGAGATGTCGATCAAAGGGAAGTTTCTTTAAGGCTGCTGGTAATTGATGGTCAAAAACTCCATAGATCCGGTCTCCACCAGGTCGTCTGATACAAACAACATAATCTGTCTATGAGAAAACCCACTTTGTAATTGTCAAATAATGTGAAGCCTTATTTAGCAAACATCTATGGATTATGGAGATGGTCATCGCGGTAGGAACTTTACTAAAACCGCACATCCTTACTCTAGATACTGAGCAGAAGTTATAAAACAAGAAGTAAAGACTGAATCATTTTTGGGCAGCGTATTTCTCTAGAAAGGCACTGCCTTTCAAACCATTCCTAGACTCAAAAATGATCTTCGGAATGTAATAGTACAGAGAAAAAAAAAAACAGTTCATGAACAATGAGACTAAAAAGTAGAATAACTAATCGCTTACCCTCCATCCAAGTGCTCTTTAAAAACACGATCAAATGCCCGACAGAGTTCCAAAATGGTGTAAAGTTGAGCCTGCAATAGCAACGGTGAGTAACTATCCATTTGATTATGGTGCAACTCTGAATAGCAATTACATAATGGTTTAAGAGCTTACCCCGGAATCAACAGCGATAGGTCTCCCAATTCTGTCCAGCTCTGCATTTATCTCATCGATGTTTTTGTTGATTAAAGCAACAATACTGGGGATTTTCTGCCTGATAACAGTCTCTAAGTGCTGACAGAGAGGGGAACAAAGTTGAAAGAATGTTAATGATATGAATTAAAGCTTTGATTCCAGGGAAATCTACGCAAGTAAAACATAAGGGTACCTGAGACAAGAGTTTTGCTAGATATTCTGACCCCATCCTACTGGCTAAATGCCCGTATTCAGGGCTTGTTTCAAAATATTCACGCTCTTTCCTACGTGCAGCAATCATATCGACTCTCTTATTGATATCGGCCTGTGAACGATTCACAATTCCGACCCAGGGATGTTGTAAACGGTACGACCGTCCCTCAAGAACCTTCATCAAATACCGAGAGGAGGTGTCAAAGTAATTAAACAAGTAACTGATTTATCTGAGACCCGAAGCTGCAGGAGTAGAGAAAGTTATTTACATCTAGACAATCAGTTCCTTTATCCATGATATCAAGCTTGGTTGCCACTCCAAAAGTTCTTTCACCTACAGATAATATACTAGAAAGTCTTAGAAAAATGTTGTGGGGGGGGAGGGAAAAGTCACTACTTACTAGTTAAACTACATCTAAATAGTACCTGTAGGATCAACTTCTCTAGCAAGTTTTATTGCGTCTGAGGTAGCAATATCTTGATTAGCTGGAGAAATAGCTAATATGATGCAATTTGGCTGCAGATCAAACATATCATATTATAAGCAACATTAAAGAGAAAAGGTTAGATCTTAGTATCACTTTCGTATTTGATGGATTAAAACATATCAGTGTGCGAGGATGATCAAATGCATAGTTCAGTTCATCTTGGTTGGAACAAATGGAACTTTTAAAACTGACCTTCTCAACATAAGAGCGGACCATGTTTTCAATGTCTTGGACGATACTATCCGGTTGTCCCTCTACAAGCGTAACATTCATGTCAGTGAATTGTTTAAGCACAAAGTACTAGAAAAAAGAACCAATGATATGACAAATCAAACTCTTACCTACAGCAACCTTGGTCAAACCCGGAAGATCTATGAGCGTCAGATTAACAACTGCAGAGAAAAGTACAAAGTGAGATATCAAAGACACATGAAAGACTGGCGCAGCAAGAGTTAAAATATAAAATGTAATTTTACTACAACTCATCACTGCTAGTATCAGCAAATATAATTTTTTTACTGTGTTGGTCTTCTAAATGCAATGCAGTATTTACATGAAGCACAAACCATTAGGAGAATATATGCTGAGCTGAATCGGTTTGTTTGAGATTTGTTTGGACTTGCCAGTAATACGATCAGTTTCATCCTCGATCTCCTTTCGCACAGCAGCTGGAAATAGAAGAATATTTATTAGCCATAACTTAGCTTTCTGAATCTCATCAGCAGTAAGCTTCATTTTAAAAAAGAAGCAATGCCCCCATGAAAGATTCATACAACCTACCAAAATCAGTAAACCTCTTCCTAGGATCATGAAGAAACTCAGCATACTCTGTTGTTCCTTCTTCAGTCTTATGAAGCTGCAACACCAATGGCCTCCTCGTAACAATACCTGATCAATCAAATGTATACCAAATCAGATGAACACTTCAATTCAAACCAGTAAAATTATGATCAACCAGTATAAATACTATTCACAAGGCTTAATAGTAATGGGAAGCTAGTGTGTAGATTCTTCGCAGTTCAAAAAAATTGCATAGCGAGAGAAAGTAGTTACCAGATCCACGAGGTAGAAAATCTCTTCCCACTACACTTTCTAGCACTGAAGATTTTCCGGAACTCTGATTCACAACAGCAAATCATATCCGAAACGTTAGAGATTTGAATTAAAATCAGATCTCACATACAAAAAACTCAAAAGAGATCAAACCTGGCCACCGACGACAGCGACGGTTGGGAGAGCTTCCCAAAGCGACATTCCTTCACCTCCATGATCTCCGAGGACAGTACAAGCTCTCTGGATTTTGTTAATCAAACCTATCAAACTCTTCATCGTCGCCATTTTTCCCTGGAAAGGATCGAAGATCGAGCAAAACCTCGCACCGACGCTCAGATCTATAGATCCAATGAAAGTAGTTAACGGTTATCGGAAGTTGGATTCGAAACGTCCGATGAGTTTGCGGTAGGTAAGATTTGATGAAGATGAACAATCTATGGAGAGCAGAGAACGGTAATGGAGAACAATTTCAAAGTAAAAGAAAGTAGGGCCTACTAATTCAAATATTGAAAGACTTTTGGGCCGAAAGTGAAAAATAAAAAATCAAATCCGATGTCGCGGGATATTCGTACCGGTCAATGATTCGGAACCGGTTATATATGAATTTACGTTCGGTTAAGTTGTGACCATTTTATCATTTTCTTAATTTTACGGACTATGTCGAAAGTATTTTGGGTTTTTATGACTTGGGCCTGATATCGAAGAAAGAGGTTTTTTAGCCCAATTATGATATTAACTATATTAATAAACTTTAAAGATTGGACTGATTAATTGGCGGGATGAGCCAGGCCCGTGCAGTAGTGCAACGCATGGGCGACTCGTGACGGTCCAGATAGCAAGCTATCTTAACGGGCCATCTCCCTCAAAAAATAGAGTTAATATCGTGTGGCCCGATGGACCACATATCAGATATTAAACTGATAAGAACAGATACTACACTTGATCTTAGCCAAAAGGCCGAGAAAGGTATGAGTTGTTTGCTTATGTGGCCTATTCTTTTATACTACAGCGCCTGCTTCCCTCTCTTATTTTGTTAGCGATGTGGGACTCTGAAAGAGTAAGTAAAACAAACCAAAAGACTCTTTCTGTACCAGCGGGTTCCGGGACCAAGTAAACAAGCGACCGATTTAAAGTCTTTGCGAGAAAAACTTGAGTCCTTCTTCTACTTTGAAATCGGTGTGATCTGGGCACGTTGGTTTTAAGAGTTATTAGTCTGTGTAGTATTGTTTGCAAGCCGTGTTGATTCGTGTTAAGCTCATGAAGACCACTTTATGCAATGTGATTTCGATAGCCACGGTTTTGGATGTTAATCATAAACTGTTCATCTCCAATGAGCAACCAGTTACCAATCAGCATCAGTTGTTAGTGTATAATGAAGAAGTGTTTAGAGGCTTCCAAATCTCTCATACAGAAAACCTGATTTGCAAACACATCAAATATTTTGTTTCATTCACGTATATATTCGGCTTCAATCTAATGTGATATGTTTATACTCTTAGTTACTATGCATGTTGTTAATTTGTCCAAGAAAAAAACCTATGTATGTTGTTGCTGCGTTAGAGTATCACACGCTATAGGTTAGTGGTGGCTAAACTTTTCCTATCTTTTAGAATTCTCATATGGTTGTCGGCCAAGTTAATTCTAAATAAGCCAGCAACATAAATGGTTTTTGTTTTGAATAACAAAAATCTAGGATTCCAAATGTCACTGATTTGAAATCGTTCATTATTACAACTGTTAAGAAATTAACAAGATCGGTAGAACCATCGTAAAAGACAACATCGCCTAAAGAAACCCTACCAAGGTGAAAAGAGGTTCATATAATGTAATTACCAATCAAATCATGTATAATATATAATATGTCAAGTCGGCTACCTCCCCACTACATGCTAATACACACTCATTTTCTGAAGTGGTATTCTAAGTGGACTTTTCTTCTTGAGAAACATGGCGTGAATCGTTTACTAAAACGATGGTGGCACATTTTTCCTATATATGAATATTTAGCTTAAAACGCTAGATTTCGTGTATAACTTCAACAGTCTAAATGTATAAGTTTATATTATCAAAGTAAGAAAGTATAATTCCACTGATCCGAGTCCTGTATGGTTCTCTTAATCCCACACTATAATGAGTAGAAGACTCTGAAGGAAAATATACAGAATATGTCAATAACAGAAACACGTTCTGAGAAAATTAATATATAGAATGTTATAATTACGCGTGCGAATATTTTTGAACTTCTTTTTACGAGCGATTTCTTTTTTATATGGGCAGAAGCAATGCGGGTAGGCAAATCTCCACATAGTCCATCATAATCAACCGTAGGATTATTTAGTGGTCGACGTTGTAACTGATAACGTCCATCCAAAATCTCACTCATGACCAGTAGCCTTGGTAAAATATACCTTATCAGTTTCATAATATTTTTTTTTTTTTGGTCAAAATCAGTTTCATAATATATGATGTGTTATATGGTTTTGGATGTCTCAAAATATAAGTTTTTAAAATTTATATGCTCTTTTGTGTAGAGGCGGCCCTAGGCACACGCAATAGAAGCAGTGGCTTCCGGCCGCCAGTGTCTATATAATAAACCGGCCAAAAATTTTCAAAATGTGTCTTTAGACTAGTGGTTGAACAGCACTTATACATGTACCTCAGCCCGGCTTCGATATGCCCCACCCACATACTTTTTATTTTCGGCCTTTTTTCCATATGTGGCTTCTAGCCTTAAGAATTCTAGGACCGGCTCTGCTTTTGTGTATCACTCGGTTTGATATGCTTCGGTAGATTAAGCTAAAATTAATTCATTCTACCTTATCCTCGCTCTTTGTAAACTTTGTATGGACCAATTATATTCAAGCAAATCCTCTATCAAGCAAAAGAAAAAATAAATGATAACTTTAGTTTTATTGAAAACTATTCAACCAATTATATTTTACATTATTTTGATGATTGGTTATATATTTTAATTTATATGTGATATTTTTAGAAAAATAACTTTTTCATCTTTGTGTTTGTATACTTAAATAATAATAAAAAAATAAGTAGTTTCTAATAATCGTGTGTTATGTCACTTGTTAAATAAAATAGATAAACGTTATACTAAATACATAGATTATTGTATACATGCAAAAAATGGTCATCTTATTATTTATGCTCCACGTTTGTTGTCTATTATAAATTTATAATTAGGTAATATACAACTAGATACATACACGAACGCATCTCATTATATATATATTGAAAACCCTAAAGTATGGGGTTTCTTTAAAGGCACGGCTAAAAGAGTTGAAACTACCAAGCCTTCTTTTACACACCAACCATGGATAAACATACACCAGACAATATGATTAGTGGCAATAATGTGATTGTAATGAACACTATAAGGGCACACATGTCAAACATCTCTCCACTCCTCAATGCCTACATAAACCCACCAATCTTTTATGTAACTTAAACACCCCCAAAACCTCAAAACAAATACAAAGCTAAAGTCTTATAAAATGGGAAGGCAGCTTTATACGACGACGTTTCTTCACTTTGCCACCATACTCTTCGTTTCCCGATCAATCTCAGCCCTCCGTTTCCCTCCCGCGCCACCAACAACAACCAACGACCTAGATTTCATCCGCACAAGCTGCAACGCAACGCTCTACCCTGACGTGTGCTTCACGTCTTTATCCGGCTACGCCTCCGCCGTACAAGACAACCCCGCGAGACTCGCCAAACTCGCCATCGGCGTTTCCCTCTCCCGCGCGAAACACACGGCGACCTACCTCTCGAAACTCTCACGCGCCGCCGCAGCCTCCCCCGCCGTCCACGACTGCGTCTCCAACGTGGGAGACGCCGTGGAGCAGATGCACGGCTCGCTCCAGCAGCTCCGGGAGATGAACCACCGTCGTCCCGGAGCTCCGGCGTTTAGGTTCCAGATGAGTAACGTGCAGACGTGGATGAGCGCGGCGTTGACGGACGAGGAGACGTGTACGGATGGGATCACGGAGGAGATGGAAGAAGGAGAGACGAAGACGGCTATTTGCGAGAGAGTCGCTGATGTTAAGAGGTTCACGAGCAATGCGCTTGCGCTGGTCAACACATACGCGAATAATGGAGCCTAGCACTAGGCCTTTAATTTTTCTATAGATACTTGTGTATATCTTGTGCTTAATTAGATTTTGTGTGTGTTCGAGGCTGTGTAATATAATTTACTGTGTTGGAACTTCGAGTTTGTGTGCTGCATTAAGCTAAGTTTAGTTGTCTTTAAACCAAAACAAAGTTTGATCGTGTGTGTGTTATTACTATATGAAATGATATGGAGAGAAAATCGATCAATTATAGATGGCTTTGATAAATAGTTTTGGATACATTTCAAATAAACTGTATTGGCCATTTTTTGGATCTTTTCATGAATATGGATGTAACAGGAACGTATTTGGACATATATCGAGAGTTGAAACCCGTGAGATGATTAGAAACATCTGACCCTATATAAGTTTGTCTAGTTGTGGCCTATTCAAATCTTTATGAAAGCTATGTCCTTGGTCACGGACATGCCAATGTACAAATTCACAAAGTTTCTTATGTTATTATTATAGCTGTGGAAAATATCGTTTTCAAACAGGAATATCAAAACGCAAATAGGTTTAAGAAGAGGCCACTCTAGGTAATTATCAGTCTCGTTTGATACTTACCTTGGTGTAAGTTTTAATAAATAAATAAATTGGGTTTGGCAGATAGTAAATTCGATCATACACATTCTTTTTGTGTCATATGTTTACACCATCATTATCAATCATTGTAAATATTTGATTTACATGAAGTTGCAAGAAATGGTATCTCAACCTGATTTAATAGACAAAAAATGTAACGATACGGAGGCTACATAAACAATCAAGCAGTCAAATAAAGCTAAGCTTCTAGTAATAAGACTGATCAAGAAAACGCAGCCCCAATCAAACCATCATCAGACTAAGGAAAAAGCACATAAAAGGTTAGAATTAAAAGACTGATGCTCATTTGGAAACTAGATTTCAAAAGGGATTAAGATAGTCCACAAACGTAAAAATTTCAATTAATAAAAGACAATGTCCAACCACATCTTCAAGGGATAAACTCATTAACTTATAAAACGAATCGACTTGTTTCTCATCTCATCCCATCACACAAAACGACAACAAGAACTTATCAATCAATCCTCGTGCAAGGTTCCCAAGACATCCTCATCCCTGAAGAGATGGTACCTAAAAGAAATAAAAATTTCTTACTCATTAAGTCCAATTCTACGTTCGTACCAAAAAAAACATGAGAACGAATTTTCAACTGATCAAAGCTTTTCTAACTACTCAAGACATATTCAAAATTTAATTATCTAATAACTATGAGAAAGCATCTACACAATAAAATGTAATACTAAGAGTATCGTAACCGTGAGACTTACAAGAGTCCTTCAGAATTTTTTTTTAAAAAAATGACCATTCACGGAATGCCACGTGTAATGAAAAAGGATTCGTTAAGAAACAGTAGGTTTAACTTACTCCTTCTCGCCGAGCTTGACCTCAGTACCACCGTACTCTGGAAGAAGAACAGTGTCGCCTTCCTTAACCGATACCGGAATCAATTTCCCGTCCTTATCTCTCGAACCGGGTCCCACTGCTATCACTTTTCCGGAGTTCAGCTGTAATAAAAAAATCATCCGGAAAACGCTTTTTTCAGATCTTATTTGAGGCCAAAAATCATAAGATCAAATCGTGAAAAATGAATAAACGGTCTTTATACCTTGGAGGCTTTCTCAGGGAGGAGGATACCGCTTTCGGTTTTAGCGGGATGGATGACTCTCTGCACCAGGATCCGGTTGAACGTTGGCACAAGACGCTTCATCATTTCTCTTGAAGGTGAATCGAGATTCAATGGTGTTCTGAGTTTTTAATCGGTAGAGAAGACGGAATGTTCTAGATCGTAGGGTTTAGAGAGACATAAAAAAGGCCAGAGGGTTTTAGGGAATAGTTCTTAAGTATTTGGGCCATTTATATCTTCTGTGACTACTAATGGGCCGAGCCCATTTTAATACAGACACGTTGGTTCTTTGAACATTAATTTTGCTCAAATTTGATTCTTTAATTTTAAATTGAAGATCCAACTAAGATTATGAATAGTTCTAGCGAGACAGTTAGGGCTGTCGGCATTGAAGCTGGGATTAGTTTAAATTTAACTATCAAGCCCATTGGGCTTAAGTGTCCAGCGGTCGGTTGACCTATACTCTCCATTATTATCAATTTTTAAATCATGGCTGCTACATTGTAGAATATGAAATACATCTATGATTAACTAATCATAGTGGCACCGTTTTGTACTTTTTAGTATAAAAATACACATAAACAAAGTTTAGGTCAATGTACATATAAATTATTCGTTTGATACAATTATGAAGGGATTGCTTTACAGTTGACACTCGATTATATATTTCAAAATGACTTCCAACCATATTTTCTTCGTTGTTGAAGTGTTTACTGTACATAAATAATCTTTCACGTCCCTGTCGACAAGACGTGTCACTGAAATCGATAAGAAACGAACGTGAAACTGGTAGGAACGTGATGAGTGTGATCCCATCAATGCTACGAGAAGACAACGCGCTAATCATTGTTCTTTTTAAAGCCAAAGTAAACCTTAGCCATTATTATTTATCAACATAATTCCCTTATAAATAATGTATACATCCATCAACCTGTCTCCTAAAGCAACAAGAAAAAATGGAAGGCACGCTGATCTCATCGTCGCCACTCAGGTTCCACCCGTTGACATCGTCACAAAGGATCACCACAGGGATCAAGAAGAGAATACAAACCACCGTGTGCGGTGGCTACTACTACAGAGGAGGAAGAGTGGTGGACGAGAACATGGTGATCCTTAGGAAACGGATCCATGAGAGAAAGATGGTCGAGCGAAACTATGAACCTCCTTCTCATTGGATGCAGTGGGAGAAACGTTTCTACTGCAACTACGATGCTAACATATGTGCTGCTCTCTCTCTTCTCCAGAGTTTTCTAATGAACTCTCGTCCCAGCGTTGCGTTTGGAACGCTTCTTCTTCTCTTTGTCAGCGTCCCTGTCTCCACCGCCTTCTTTGCGTTTCGCATTCTTGACATTGTTCTTTGGCTTTTTGATGCCACTCACGTAGGATGATCATCTCTATATATATTTACCTTGATGTGTCACACAATTTCTTTTTATTAATAGTTTCCTTTCAAGAGAATGCTTTGTTTATAGATACTAGACAATTCAGTTTTATCACTAAATTTCTCGTACGACTTACTGAGAAGTAGGGATGTGTTGTTGGTGGATCCAAGACAAAAAAGTATAAACTTGAATCCATGTCTATTCAATTTCTCTCTTAGAAGAGGTACAATGGAACACACCCATTCTTCTGAAGATAACTTTTCAAAGAACAGCTCGTCGCCATGACAAAACATGGTTACTCATCATTCATCATAATAACATGAGATTCCATCATCTCATTCAATACTTGTCCTACTTTACAGGTGTATAGTTTGAAGAAATGCCTCCTAAGGGCTAATGTGCTGTACAGTTTGCCGGAACACTACATGTACATGTCTTAATCAGAGAAGACGTACACTTATTAACAGGCGCTTCTGACACCACCTTAGCGCAACTCTACATGCATATTTGCATGCCAGGAACAGAAGATCGGAGAAAATTTCACTTATGAAGAATCATGGTGGCTAAGAAATTCAGTTATGCAAGGATAGACTTGCTCCACTGCCTGCAGGTAGATTATCAAAGAAATTGACTGAGATAGAAAACAAGCACGCACATAAATACGACATTGAACAAAGTTACAACATGGTAGATCTAGAAATGTGACATACCAGTCGTCCTCCAACCAGATCATAGTGCGCGTAATGTGGTCCGTCTTGTTCTCCAAGTACCTTATAAGTGACCAGGTTCTCAGGGAACAGCTTAGCAGTGTCTGCCATATTCACAAGCAATTGCAATGGTGAGAAAACAACATGCATGTTTGTGCATACTAATCAACTATGTATCAATTAGCTTAACATTTAATTTGGTATGTGTGGAAAGTATAGTGAAAGCTGAACAGGTATATGTGCTACAGCCTCGCTAAACTCCAGCAATTTAGTAACAGCAATGTAGAATTTTTAACGAAATGCATAACTGGGCAGAAGCACAAGATTTTTTTCATGTATGTATTCACAATAAACATCAATCCAGTATACCTTCTACAGCTACAGGGGGACAGATCAAGTCCCGATCACCCGCAAGAGCTAAGACAGGGACACTGGTTCTGGAAAGATGATCCTTGTAGTAAAATTTACCACTACGATCGCGTAAGCCTCCCGCTCGAAAGGCTGTTGTCAGCTGAATAAGAAGTTTTGCAGGTATAGTACCTAAAGGTTGCAAAATAGAGAAACCACTTAATACCACCATAAGAGAAGCAAGAAGTAGAGGAAACAACTAGCATTTGTCTAATCATCTCATGTCAATACATCCCATGCATCTAAAAGGCAACTCTTGGATATTTAAATGTCATTTTTCCTAAGGTGGATGCATTTGTTTTCCACTTAAACTCACATTTCTAAACTTGATTAAACATCTGTACTTACAGAAGTTATTCAAGACAAGCTTCTCTAACTGTTCAGGGTGCATCATATCTGTTGCTGATATCAAATCGTTAAGCCAAGACAATACGTATGGAGGTCGTGATGAAAGAGGATAAGCTGCAGCCAAGAGAGCGCCCAAAGGAACAACTGGAACACTCAGAGCTTGTGCAGGATCAGCCTGTAAAGAAGTAGCTCATAAATTTACCACAAAATAACTTGGTGTCGCATCAATTCTTACAGAAGAACCCAACGCAGAGATATAAGGATAAAAATTACGTACAAGAGGTATGAGCAATTTGAGGGCAGAATCTGAAGTCGTGTAATCTAACGATGAAGCCAAAGTTGCCACAGCTGCCAGGCAAGGTTCTCGTCCCTGAAAAGCTAACCAAATGGTATAGAAGGAATGAGTAACAACATAAACTTATGAGCCTCTATATCAAGATGACTATTAACTTACCACAACGTGACAGCATTGCATAGAGTAAGATACCTCCCATTGAGTGCCCAATTGCCAAAAGCTTACCGTCCTTTGGCTTGCATTGAGCTCTTACGTACTCAATCTATGGCAAATCAAAAACAGAACACCCAGTTCAGTAACAAATACAAACATGGTTATGTGAAGCATTTAGTTAGATCATTGTCTCCTTACCGCAGCAGGGACATCCTCTTCCAGGTAGTTATCAAAATCCCAGTCATATTTAACAATCAAATCAAGTTGCTTCTGAAAATCCTCTACAGTCGAAGTGAGTCGCTCTTGCAAATCAATCAGCTGAGGGGACACAGACCTTTGACCATCGTCAAGAAGATTCACAAGGCGCTGAGTCAACTCTCTAATCTGGTTACCAATTCCTGAGTTTTGCCTTGACTCGATCAAACTCAAAAGCTTTGATCTTATCTCACTAAAACGCTCGTACAGCCGAGAATCTTCTAAAAGCATAGCAATTCTATCAAACAACTTAGCAGACATGAACACAGACTGACCTTCACTGAGAAACCCACTAAGTCTCTCCGACAAACGCATAAACGTCGCAGTCAACCTCGCCACGATCTTTGACTCGTCCCAAGCAGAGGCTTCACCAACAAAAACAGAAGCATCTGCTCCTCTCTCCTCAACACCACCAGCTTTAGCTTCTTTAGCTGCAGCTTTAGCAGTAGACTCTATCTGATGAGACAGCTCGTGAGCAGAATCTTGAACATCTTTGAGATCAGATACTCTTGTACTCAACCCTGCTCCACGAACCTCCAGAATCCACGTCTCGTATCCTTCACCAGACATGTGTCTTGCAAAAGAACACTACAATTACATTAAACCGTGTTAGAAATCACGAGCCATTATGAAACAGATTCAGATTACAAAAGGAATGTGAAATGAAGTCAAAAACATACACCAGGAGATAGATCATATCCGATGGCATTAGTTCCTACTCCAGATAACAGCAAGAGCGGATGATTCCTCTTCGGAGCCTGAAAAGAAGAACTTTCTTGATCACAAAGATATAAATAAACTCAATGTTTTTTTTTCTGGTAATCCAGGAGTTCCCCACTTCGTGGCTCATTCCGGGCCCGGTTAGGCAGCGATCCCAGGACTTTACCTGGGCTGAGGATAAAGCCCTACACCCAATACTACATTTGGTGACAAGAGTCGGCACTTCCCCTCCGCCTGACGTTGAACCCGTGAGCATGACAATTGGCTCATAGGGCTCTTACCAAACGAGCTAACTCATCCCGTCAAATAAATTCAATGTTCTAAAAATAATCAGTCTAAACAATAATCTTACCCCTAACAAAAAATAATCAGTCTAAACAATAATCTTACCCCTAACAATGTAACAACCCATCATGTGGCTCACAAACGCTACAGCGCACCGACCCTAACCCCACATCCACCGGTAGGTTATTGATGCGCTTGGCGTTACTCGAACCCAAGACCTCCACCCTTTAACAACTCTCCACAAGATAAGCTATCACCAATTGATGGAGTTAGTGACACCAATTGGAGACAACTTATCTTATGGAGAGTTTTTAAAGGGTGGAGGTCTTGGGTTCGAGTAACGTCAAGCGTATCAATAACCTACCTGGGAGAACTGAGGACTCGGCAGAGTTTTAAAGGGTGGAGGTCTTGGGTTCGAGTAACGCCAAGCGTATCAATAACCTACCTAGGAGAACTGAGGACTCGGCAGGTGAGGGGTTAGGGTCAATGCACTGCAGCGCTTGTGAGCCAGAGTATGGGTTGTCACAAACAACTTCCTAACTACCTCCCTAACAACCTCCTAACTAACTCCGTAACCTCCTAACAACCTCCCTAACTACCACCTAACCATTTCTTGAACACTTTGAACATTGTATAAACTTGTAGAGGCATAGATGGAGTCGGTTAGAGACCTGAGGGGAAGGGAAGTAGCGCCAGAGAGCGAGGCGCCAATCACTGTTGGGAACGGTGACGTAATGAAGCTCGTCGGCGGTGCAAAGAGGCGGTTTCGTCGGGAGCTTAACGGAGGAAGAGAAGGCTCTCGGACGAAACGGTTTCGTGGTGCGGTGACGTAAGGAAGGAGTTGCGGTGGTGATTGGTCGGAGGAAGTAGACGGTGGAGGAAGCAGCCCGGCGTAGAGCAGAGCGGATCTCAAAGGGGAATTGGGGAGGGATCGTCGCCATCAATCAGATTTGAAAAAAAGTGGTGGCTCGGCTTTTTTTGGAAACGTTTTAAGGATTCTTCTCATCACTGGTACACGTGGAGAGACGACCGGTGGTGATTGATGGAAGATGTTGACCGTAAAGTATGGACCGTATGTACAGTGTATGTTGTAGTTAATGGGCTTTGGGCTTTTAGTATTTTGAATAATATGGGCCCAAAAGTCCATCAGAGACCAGGTCGAAAACAACAAATGAACCTAGAGAAGACTGACTAGAACAACAAAACTGGTTCCTCCTCATTCCTCCGAGTCTAGATCTTCCGTCTCAATTAGGTATGAACAGTTCTGTTTCCTTTTTAATTCATTGCATCCTCTTTCGTGTTATTGACGAACAAACCAATCGGTTTCTGTTTGTTTCTGACATTAAATCTCATTTCTGTCTTGCAGTTTACAGCTTTCCGACAGACTTAACGACATGTAAGTTTATTCCTAAAACTCGGCGCCACTTTTTGATTTTAATTACCAATTTCCACATCATGTTGTATGGATCTCATGTAGGTGTCTGAATCTTGTGCTCTATCGTGTGTTGTGATCGGTCCACGATGATATATGTCGTTTAGATTTATCCATCTTCGTCTTAGCTGATTTAGATGTCGCGTAGTATAATAACTTCTCATTAGCACTCTCTTTCCGTAGATATTCAACATGACGTTGATTGTTTTTTTTTTGCAAGTCTCAATCGAAAAGACAGATTCTTTTATGCTGCCATTACACATTTCCGCCAGTATGTATGTGAATGATGTGTTTTTGTTTAAATGATTGCAGGGCAGACGATGAAGTTGTTGATCCAAAGAAGTACCTTGAGGAGTCTTGCAATCCAAAATGTGTGAAGCCACTGCTTGAATATCAGGTGAATTAACGTGGAGAAATGATATTGTGTAACAAGTTTGTGAAGATACATGCCTTGTATGTGAAGATCATTGTTTACTGATACACAAGTCTTTTTTTGTTTTGGTTTCTGGATCCAGGCGTGTGTGAAGAGAATCCAAGGTGATGACTCTGGCCAAAAGCACTGCACTGGGCAGTACTTCGATTACTGGCAGTGCATTGACAAATGTGTAAGTTTCAGCTGGATTATGGCTTTTGCTCTTCACATTTTCTTTTTTTTTTTGCAGTTTGATACTGAGATGAATCTGGATTTTGGAATCTTCAGGTTGCACCCAAGCTATTTACAAAACTGAAATGAAACAAAGCGAAGGTGGAGTTGACATTGTCTTTGAGTTGATGGGATATATAAAACGCAGTGGATGTTGAACATTTTTTCATAACTGCAAACCTGAATAATGCCAAATGGCTCTGCTTCTCGGTTTTGTTTCTATCGCAATTTGCGGTCATTTTATTGTTGCTGCAGACATTGTTATTGTGCTTCTTTTGAAGTAATAAAATGCCTAATAAGTTAATAACAAGTATTTGTTACATCTGATACATGTTCAATAAGCAAGGATTTACATTATCTCCCATTCACATTGTCTGTATTTTGAATGAATAATTCAAAGAATTTGAGTCACTACTAAGCAAGATTTCAGTTTCATTAAAAAGAAGACATTCATCAAGTACTCCCAGGGAAACATAACAAGGAGATTCATCACAGTAGTAACATTTATCAATGATTAATAGACAAGGGTGACAAGTGAAAATCAACACGGTTTACTTATTATCTATCTTTAAGGTGTTACAAAAATCTGTGTTTGACTTTGGTAGCAAAAGAATCATAATGACACAGTACATTAGTTACTATAACATACAAACAAATGTATCAGTCAAAAGTTTTTGAGCAACTTGTCATTTGACACTCCATCAGCTACAAGAATTGCCGTTATCTCCTACAATAACAACAAATCAAAACATCGATAAAGATACACATCTTCTGAATAGCATTTTAGGGTCCCAGCAACAAAAAAGAGTGAATACCTCAGCCATTTGTTTCTGTCCGCATAGCACCGCTCCTGCGGCCTCGGGTTTTGAAACTTGTTTGGCCCTTGCAAAAGCAGCCTATGTACAACACATGATGATAGTATATATTAAGTTTGATGCATCTTGAGTTAAGCATTTAGATTGATGTTTCTCAATCTCACCTGCACATATCCGGTTTCCCCTGTCCACCCATCATCTGGCTGTGATAATACAGGTACGACTTTGACACCTGATGATTCCCACTCTTTAAATTTTTCCTGCAAATCGAGAGCATGGTAAAAAACCGTTCAATAAATCAGATCCAGAGAGAGAGAACTAAGCTCTGTGCTTATCATCAATCGACTTAAACAGTTCAACTGGACTTATTTCTATCTAGTGACATTCCTGAACTGCAAAAAAATTGAGAGAAAGAACCAAACCTGATAAGCCATTCTTTTCAGGTTCCTAGCCCCATAATAAAGTCTTACATCAGATCTTCTATCAGCGCCAAATCCTGTCTCAATTAATGATCGGATGGGACTGCATACATAATAACATGTTATATTACATTCCAAAAGATGATAAGTGAAGACAGTTACTAAAAATACCTATCACCATCACAAGACATTGTTGATTCAATCAAGGCACATAACACCAAACAGAAACACCTAAACCCTATCTCAAATCTCAATATTAGAACCCAAATGAAAAGGTCCATGTGATCCCTGAACAGACGTTGCGTATATAATTTCATCGTATTCGTATCAAAAGTAAGAGATCCCAAGCTTCCCACTTCAAATCCAGAATGATACAAGCAATTAAACGAAGCATCATCAACATCATCTTAGACAAAGATACCAAATCTCAACAAACTTTGGCTATTAATATGCAACTGAACCTTTAAACTAGACCCTACTTAGATCATTGAATAGTACGACTTTAGCAATCCAGCAAAGTAAAACAGAAAATGGACAAAGCCAGTATATGATACAAGCAACTGAACTAAGCATCATAGACATACATCATGTAACTAAACCAAATGCAAGACAAAAAAAAACATTAGCCTTGACTAAAACTGTGCAATTAAACCTATAAAACTAAACCATATACTTAAAGATCACTGAATCAAAGAAACATGAAGTAAATGACTCGACTTTATCCCTCATATAGACAAGATACCGAGTCTCAACAAACTTTGGCTAATAATATGCAACTGAAACCTTAAAACTAGACTCTTCTTAGATCATTGAATAGTACGACTTTAGCAATCCAGCAAAGTAAAACAGAAAGTGGACAAAGCAAGTACATAATACAAGCAACTGAACTAAGCATCATTGTCATCATGTGACTAAACAAAACGCAAAAACAATAAACCGAGTCCAAAAAAACATTAGCTTTGGCTAATACTGTACTTAAAAGATCATTGAATCAAAGAAACATAAAAGTAAATGACTCGACTTTATCATCCCTCACCTAATTCCAGATCCAGTAGCGAAAATCAAAACCGTGGGATACTCCTCAGGAGGATCAACCCGACCCATATCGAAACCATTCCCCATCACCGCGCTAAGCTCAACAGTCTCCCCTCTCTTCAACCCACAAAGAATCTCCGCCGTGGATCCAGCGATACTCTTCACCAAAAACTCAAACGCCCCACGAGAAGCCGCGAGCGAAGGAGGAGAAGCGATCGCAAGGAACGAAGGCTTCTCGACATCGGGGACTCGGAGCTGTAAGTACTGTCCGGGCCGCGTGTAGGAAGCCACGAGATCCGGGGAGCTCGAAACGTCGATCGAGACGTGGAAGAGCGATTCGGCGGCGGATTCGATTAGAGAGAGTGGGGCTGGGGTCCAGATGGCGGCGTCTTGACGGACGGCTGCGGCGGTGACGACGCGTCGGTTGTTGCGGGAGGAGAAGCGGAGATTGCGTGTGAGAGAGGGGAGGCGGCGTAGGATAGACATGGAGGAGAGGGGGTGGCTAAAGTGCGCATGGGTGGTGGTGAGGGAGGGGGAGAAAGAGGGTGTGGACATGGTGGAGAGTGTTTTTTTGGGCTTATTTGATTGTTCCGGCGGTAGAAAATGGCGGCCCGATTTGTTCGGTGGCACGACTACACGAGGGGTGTTTTTTTTTTTTTTTTTGAATAAAAACACCTAAATTGGGATGAGGTCTTAT